GTCAAAAATATATTGAACAACGATCACAAAATGAACGAGTAGTCATGGTTGTTAGTGGTCGATTAGGACAAGCAATAGTCCCTTCTATTCACAAAATTCGACAAATTATATCAATCTATGTGTATTGCATAGATAAAGAGAGAAACAAACAATGGGCTGTCAATTTTCCAAAAGTAAAATTAGACTAAATGATTGAGATTTCATTTTATTATGTTTTTTGTTGATAGGTAAAAGCTGCTGTTGTTCAACTTGATGAACTCGTATCTCGAATTAAAGATGATTATAAAATTCAAAAGATCGTAGAAGAACCATTGTCAATCAATACTTTCACTACAGGTTCTGGTGCAGGTAAAGCAACAAGCGGCGTAAATGGTAAATTCGTTTTCTCACAAGCTCTTATTGATTGTCTTTTACGACTTAAATCTACTGAAAGAGATACCAAAGAGCTTATTGAGATTTGTAAAAAAGAATATGAAGATAATGATAAAGAGTTAAGCAATCTACGCGAGTTTCGAAAGAATTATTCGCCTAACGAAGTATTAAGGTGGTACACACGAGAATCATTCTTTTACAAGACTCTCAATGCAGTTTTACGCACTGAAAATATTCATATGATTTTTTTATTTCGTGCATTTATCTCTGATATTCAACGTCAATTGAAAAATCATCAAACTAAGAATCCTCTACAAGTATATCGAGGCCAAAAGATATCAACTGATGAACTGAAAATTTTAAAACAATTTCGTGGTCAGTTTATTTCAGTGAATTCATTTTTTTCCACCAGTACTGATTATCGACAAGCTCTTAAATTTCTCAAAGGTTCTAATGCTACAGAGAACTTAGAACCAGTATTATTTGAAATCGTTGCTGATCCTAACGTGGCAACTACAAAACCATTTGCCGATATCAGTGCATTTAGTGAACTTTCTGGTGAATCAGAAATACTCTTTATGCTTGGCTCTATTTTTCGTTTGGATAGCATCAATCGCAGTAGCGACGACCAAGTATGGATCATCCGAATGACTTTATGTAGTGATGATGAACATGATTTGAAACAAGTTCTCGTGGATATAAAGCAGCACTTTGGAAGTGGAGAAACAGATCTTCAAATACTAGGAAGATTGCTATGGGAGATGAATAGACTTGATCTGGCTGAAAAATACTTTATTTGCTTGCTAGAACAACTTCCACCCAATGACCCTTTACTTAGTGAATTGTATCAAGATCTTGGCAAGCTCGCATCACAGACTGGTAACTTGGACAAGAGTATGGAGTGGCGCCAAAATGCTATTGCACTAAAAAAACAACATTCAGCAATTTCTTCTCTCAGTATTAGCAAATCAAAGAATACTCATGGTAAGCTCGTTGAAAGAAAATCTAATATTTTGAAATAGGTGTCCTAAGTTAGGGTGTGGGTGTGACGTGCTGTAAGTGAAGGGAAGAAACCCACACCCACACCCTAAACAACAATATAAAGGTGAAATGAAAAGTGTATGTGTCAATTGTACGTATAAAAGCAAGAGATTAGTTCAGACGCTCGTCAAGTATATCAAGAAAGACAAGAAAAAAGAACCAAACGTTTCTAAACCACCTAAAGAAAAGACCTGTCTTATATGTTGTACTTGAATTAAGTCCATGTTAAGGATATCATTAATTTTTTCAATGCAGCGTATTCAAAAACATTCTAGAAGAATTCAAATAAGAATCAATGTTATAAACAAATTGAGAATATTAAGTGTAATTAACTTATATTTGGCTCTCTACAGTTTGTAAAGATAAAATCATACACGTGTACAATATTTGAAAAAAAAATATCTATGTAGAGAGAGAAAAACAAGAAGGAAAATGTGAAATACAGGAAAAACTGATCTAATTAATGTAAGTGAAGATTTGCAATCATATTCACTAGAACTTCTTCTAAACAAGCAAAAACATACATCAAAATATCCGATAACCATTGAGACGAAATAGGCTCTAACAACTACCTTTAAAATTGAGAAGTTATGTATATAGATATGAGAACAAGTGTCCAGGTGTTATTGCTATTCTTTCTTTTAAGTATTACTGACTCAAACTAAGTAGCGAAAGGACGAAAAAGAAAAGTGGTCTCTAAAATTTTCCTTCATTTTTTACAACAATGCATCACTAATCAAAAAAGAAAGTTATGCATGTCATTCTGATAAAGGTCTGCTATAAAGATATATGAATAACTATATCATCTACTTACTCCGATCATCGTTGTCAGCCTTAAACCTTATCCTTTAATATGAGCATTGATTCATTTTTATATACTAGACATGACACAAAATTCAAATGAACAGCACAATCCACTGTTCAATATTAGCAGGGAAATTTCTCAATGCCTAAGGAATTCTGTATACATTCAGTTCAAGGCAGAATATAATATTTATGTACTTCTAAAGTACAAAGTAGAAAAGACAATGAAGAGAACAATTAAAGAAGTACCCAGAAGTATGATGAAGGACAGAAAAACACGAAGACGTATGACAAAATGTCAGCAATTGCAAAAAAATAAGAATTATGCTGTTCTCCTTTTGATCCGTTGTCTATCCTTTAATCTATTTTGTATCATCAATCTAACAAAAAGAAACAATCTGATAACTTTTTCTCTTCTATTATCTTAATCGGGTGCGGGAACCGATGTATCGTTTTCAACTATAATTTTTTTTTACGTTTTTCATATTCATTGTTTCAAAGAACTCATTTCGTACGCAATATTAAAAAAACTTAGTTATATTTCATATAATGCTCGAATAAGTAAACATGAAATGAGCTAGACAGCTCAGTATACATGTAGTTCAATCAACAATTAAGCAGTTATTTAGATAGAAGTTTACGTCAACAGTTAGATATATAGTAAATGTTCATTGTGCATGGCTCTGTGGTCTTAGATAGTTCGCTTGGTTTCCTCGATAGAGATGCATTCAGTTTGTTGAATTTTGCCAAACTTATGACTAGTAGTTTGTGATTTCGGCTTCGTGTTTTGTACAGAACGCATGGAAGCCATCTGTAAAACTCATTGTATATTCAAGAAAAAGAATAAGAGAATGGTCTGTAGATAACATTGAAAAACTGAACTTTAAAGCACTTATTGTTTTAAAGGTATTCAAAAAATATCTAGGACTGCTTAACACTAAAATGAAAAATAGTAAGATATATGAAGGTAGACAGCTAGATGAATTTGTAGAGAAACCAAGGAGTAAAGAGTTAGACCTCTCTACTTATGAATTTTAAGTATCATAAGAACAGTTTATTTGAATAAAACAATGGCAGAAAAAATGATTGAGACGAGGCATATAACTAGAGAAAATTAAAAGTATATATAAACAGATTAACAATTTCAACATTTTAGGATGATAATCATGGTTCTTAGCTATGAATCAAAATCGTTGAGAAAAACCACACTTAGAAACTACTAAGAACCTGTAGCGAATAAACGGATCGTAATTTCAGCTAGTATGCGACGAGAAACCAGTGTCATGTTGCATTTGTGTGAATGTCTTTGAGTAGCTATTAGAAAACACGACTAGCATCTGATCACAGTCGAAATATTGTTACCATTTTGACGTATTTTTTAAACTCTTTTCGTCTCTGTGACTGGCAAACAATATATACAAGAAAAAGTGTTTCATAGCTCCAAAGAGTGACTTTAAAAATGTCATTTTCCTATTTCAACTATTTCTTTCGTTATTTTAAGAATAACCAGCTCAAACAGGCCAAGAACGATTGCATTTCCTTTTCATGACTATTTAGATCCGTTAAGATTTTTTGAATGTAATCTTTTTAAGATAAATCATTACGTTCTATTTTTGTGAAGCATTCTTTACGATCACTATCGATTTAAAAACAAATGAAGGTGTCTAAAACTACAAAAAGAAACAGTAGCATAGCTATTCTATACTCATGAGCTTCGTTTTAAATAGATTCGAGTATATATTAACTACGTCATGCTGATAACCTTTCGATATTGCTTGAGATTAGATAGACACACAGAGAAATATGATCAAAATAGTTTGCAAAAAAGACATCAACAAATTAAATCTATTACAATTGAAAGTTAGATGAGCAGATATCATGTAAAGGTCTTTTTGAAAATGTCTAAATGTGCTGTTTTTAAATATACTTTTTATTAAAAAAAATTGTGTCTCATTTCAGAAATATTGAAGTATTCTTCGACTATTTTTCATCATAATCCCATTATTGTCAAACATTTTTTCAAGAGGAAAGCAGTAGATTCTTGAAACTTCGTATCCATGTAAGTGCAGTCAGAAACCACGGAATACGATGATGAGCTCATAAATACGTAATATAAATATATGTTATAAATTAGAAGTGTGATTTTTTTCTCATAGATAAAAAGTACCATTTCATTTGTTGAAAGCTTTGAAATTTACGCCGTTAAGAAGACTAATAGTATGCGAAAATAAGTTATATATTATGAAAGGAAATTTTAGGCCACTGTTGAAATATGTATGTTAAACTACAAACGATGAACAAGGCTGTGGGTGTGGGTGCAAGTGTGGGTGCGGTTATGTTTTAAGAGGAAACCCACACCCTCAATTCAGATTTAAAGTTTATTTCAATCTAATGTTCATGTTCAGCGTATATCTGTGTGTAGTAGATTTAGAGGAGAGAAAGTTTAAGTGAGTTCATATCTCAAAGGCTCTCTTAATTTATTTAAGCATCAAAATTTAAGTGTAAAGTAATGTTTCAAAGAAAGTCACATCGTTTTTTATCTTTATGATGTTATATGTGACTATTCAATGTGAAGTCGACTCCATTCATTATTTTTTATTAGTAGTTATCAAAGAAAATATACCAATAAAGAGTATTTCAACAATTTTCGATAGTTACAACTAAGGTTGCGTCTGTTGTCAGTTAAACCTAAACATTTAAAGAGATATGATTTGAAAGCTAAGTACTCATAATAACAATGGATACTCATTTTAGGAAAAACTTTATAAACACATTGAGTCGTTGGTGCTTAAAAAATTTATCTGTTCAAGCTAAAAATGAAAAAATTCTAATCCAAAAAAATAGAAAAATCGAATGATTAACCCTGAATGGTAACTTCAAATGTATTGTACACTAACATCAGTTTCTTCGAAGTAGTAAAAACTTGAAGATTTGATGCGAAAATAAGAAAAGTACGATCAGAATAGTGAAATGAACCTGTATTATGCGCCATACATTTGCGTGCTTTACATCGATCAGTTAATATTACTGCAACTTTCAGATCAATTTAGAAATTGTTCTAACGAAAATGTTTGCCCGTAAGTCATACACTGATCTATGTAAATTGACGTTCTATGCTAAAGAACAAGTATAATAAAAACATTTATTCAATTGAATATCTGATTAAAAATTTTCAAATTATTGTATTTTCGAATCACGCTTTCGAAAATTGTCATTAGAGATTCAATGAACACTATAGCTACTCATAACTAACATTTGTAAAATGATAAAATATTTCAAGAACAAGTTTGAATGTGTCACACTTACACCCAATTTCATGCGACTGGAATGTTCCTGAACAAAGATCGATTTTTGAAAGAAAGCCGAGCTCAGGTCAGCAGTGTTTCGCAAAAAATATTTGAGCGATATCTCATCTACCTCTTTGAAGAAAATCTATGACACAAATGATTATATATTGAGATTCTATAAAAACCTTTGAAAATTGGTTTGGATGTGCATATGAATGTGGGATCTGGTCAGTATGAGTGAGCACTGATCTTCTCTTTGATTACAGCCACACTCAGATTTATAAAAAAAAAAAACTAGATTTTTTCCTATCATTTTCTTGTTCATTTCTCGCTTATTAGCAATGTAGGAATAAATTTTTGAACAAGTAATGATATCTTCTGATAATGCTTCACATTCTTGATCACTCTGACTTTGTGAAATAAATAACAAAAATGGACAGTTACAAAATTTATTTTTTCTTAATTACCAAGAAGAGTATTTACATAATACTTGGATTATTTTTCAACTCTATCAGAATGTATTCTTATTGTTTCTTATTAAAATTTATTTCTATAGCATCTACAATTTGTAAACGAAGACTAAGAAAGCCAGCAAAAAACAATAAGAGATTCCTTTGAGACACTGAATTTTCTCCAGAGACGGAAAAGTAACAAATGCCATATATTATATGGCACAATTTTATTTTTTATGAGTTTGATGTATTTAACAATTATTTTAAATTTTGATTTTTATGCCATTAAATAGAGAATTTGCATTTCTGCATAACTGTTCACAGTAGGCAGCTAAGTGAAAGTTAGGTGAAAAGTCGACAACTCACTTTAGCAAGATTCAATTACTTGTATATATACTCCGCACTATAGACTATTTGATGGCGTTAAAAGTTTCTTTTACAAACATCAATAAGAGCAAAAAAAAGCTAATGAAGAATTAGCCTGAAAATAGTATTATCTATGCAATTCATATTTTTCTACGTAGAGAATCCACTGAAGGAACAATCGAAAACAAAATGAGAATTAAATTGTCTTTTTTTCGACTATAATTTTCCAAATTATTCTATAAGTAAAATGAGCACCTCCTTCACACTTCAATATAAAACTTATTCAGACTTTTTCAAAAATTTTCTCTCATATTTCATCTATCACTACTATTAACATAAATGTACTTGGATACTACAAGAGGTTTTCGAAAAGAAAACATGACTTTTCAGGCGGTTCTTATTTTTTTCGACTTAGAAACGTTTTACTCGATAAAAAGATCATATTAAGAATTAGCGCAAGCAATTTCATCGAACCATATACGATACAATCATTTTACAGATGAATGTTAGTTCGCATTTTTTTTTCTCCTGAGCAACACACCAATCCATGCTAAGATTGTTAAGATGTAGACCAAGAACTTATCTATCTTTTGGTATACAATGCTTAGCTTTTGGCATCAGCCTTGATAAGCACACACTGACAAAATCCTTTTTTATCCGTAGAAAAATAGCAATTCACAGTTGACATTTCAAAAAGTTGTTTTTTTTGATAAAGTTTATGCCTGTATGAAAAATCTATCCAAAAAGAAACGCGATAATTTTTTAGAGGATTAAATTCTTAAAGGTTAAAAATACAAGTGCAACATGTACTATATGGGAATAGGTGGTTAGAGGTCGAAAGGAAAAATGCCGAAAGACAAAATGTCGAAAGGCAGATTGTCGAATGAAAGAATGTAGAAAAAAATATGAAAAAGAGAAATATGAAAAATGCCGTTGAAAAGATATCCTATGGGCTGCCGATGAAAAAACAATTATCTCTTAATTAGATTATTTCTTTTTCTATGACTTTGACCGTTACGTTAAGAGGATCTAACAATAATGATTAGGGTGTGGGTGTGGGTGTAAGTCTTCTTTTCGATGACTCCCACACCCACACTTCACACCCGTATCCACAACCATGCCCCACACCCTACATTCACAGCCAGACCTACAGCAACACCCACACCCTCATTGTTTCGACATCTTGATTTTCGACATTTTGTTTTTCTACATCGACAACTTTCGACATTATTTATTTCTGCAATGTGCTTTTCGACATTTGTTTTTTCGACATTTTTCTTTCGACTTTTTACCACTTTACCGTATGAAAGAGGAGAAAAAGCTCTATCTTTTGGTAAAAAAATTGTTTCAGTACGTGTCTCTCGAAGAGAAATAAGAATCAACATTTCGTATCATTCCTTTTGCATCGTACATTACTTTTCAAAGATTTGTTTGAATAATTCGATTATTATTACTTAAGTTCAAATTCTATTATAACTCATTTTCTTGTAAAATTCAAATACAAAGAAATGAAATGATTTTTAAATTCATGACACAATATCTAAATATATTTCAAACTTGAACTAACGAAATCAGTGAATATGTTGGGAAAATTCGATATAAAAGAAAATTTCATTCACGATAAAATCCGAGTTCATCGCAATTTTTCATATTACCAGTTAAATTTTAGTTAGTTTTAGTTAAACTAAGGATTCTTATACAAAATATTTGAAAAAAAATCAACAATATTTGTGTTCAACATTGAGAAAATCAGATTCTAATCAAGTTCATAAGTAAAAAGCTTTTGTAATTGAGAGCAGTTCAATACTGTTTAAAAAAATGAAAAGGATTCATTTCAATGAAATTGATGTTTATTTCTACTTCATACTTTTATTTCATTTCAGTATCACTACGTGCAAGTTCCACTGATATTCATCCGAATGCAAAATGGGCACAGAATGGTATCATTGTCGCTGGAGGAAATGGAGAAGGCAATGGAACCAATCAACTCTCGTACCCATGTGGTTTATACGTCGATGATGATCAAACGATTTATGTCGCTGATTGTGTAAATCACCGTATTATGGAATGGAAATCTGGTGCAACAAATGGAAAAGTGGTTGCTGGTGCAAATGGATATGGAAATGGAGCACATCAATTAAGTGGCCCAGTTGATGTGATTATCGACAAAGAGAGTGATAGTCTCATCATCAGTGATGGAGGGAATAACAGAGTAGTTCGATGGCCTCGTCGAAATGGTACTAGTGGAAAAACTATTATTTCAAATATCTATAATAGTGGTTTGACAATGGACGAAAATGGATCTCTCTATGTTGTTGATGAGAAAAGACATGAAGTGAGACGATATAAAATTGATGACACTAAAGGAACAGTGGTTGCAGGTGGCAATGGAAAAGGAAATCGTCTCGATCAACTCTCTCTTCCCTCTTGCGTATTTCTCGATCGAGATCATTCAGTATATGTGTCTGATTGTGAAAATCATCGTGTAATGAAATGGGAAGAAGATGCAACACAAGGCATTGTCGTAGCCGGTGGTCAAGGAAAAGGAAATAGTCTTACACAATTGAAAGAACCTGACGGAGTCGTTGTCGATCAATTGGGTACTGTCTATGTGGCTGATTTTAGGAATTATCGAATCATGAGTTGGCCAAAAGGAGCCACACAAGGAAGTGTCATTGTTGGTGGAAATGGCAAAGGAGCACAGCCGAATCAATTCCGTTGTCCCGCTTGTTTATCATTCGATCGACATGGCAATCTCTATGTCGTCGACTGGGGAAATCAACGAGTACAAAAATTTAATATCGAATAAACTCATGAAGATGATGAATTTTAGTTTTTTTTGTTCTCTCTCTCTCTTTCAAATAAATCGTGATTGAATGTAAAAATGAATTCATAGCTATTCTATTCACACGCCCGCGACCAGGAACCATCCTGGTGGAGAGCATAATGCGGGTGTGGGTGTGGGGTGTGGGTGGGTGTGGGTGTCGGTGGTGTGGATGTGGGTGGGTGGGTGTGTGGGTGTGGGGTGTGGGGTGTGGCTGTGGCTGTTTCAAAGAAAAGATAATCCACACCCACCCACACTCACACCCACACCCTAACTTGAAAAATTTGATTTAGACCAGATAAAGCTCGATT